AGCTGCAAGTCTTGTTTCCTATAGCTGTTTGTGTGTTTCTGTCATTTTTTGTTGTTGTTTTGTTTTTGTATTTTTGTGTACAGAGGATCAGCAGAGAGAGTTGTATATACTATATTATATTATGATTAGATTCACTTTATTTATTATTAATTATATATTATTATTATTATTATTTATTATTATTATTATTATTATTATTATTGTTATTACAATTTATTATTATTATTTTTTTTCCGGCATGTCCTGCCACTGTTTTATTAAAATGATAACCAAGTAAAATTACAAAAATTTAACTATAGCTAATCCTTCTTTAATCGCAACAAGTGACTCACTCAGCTTAAAGCCCAGGTGCAACATCACCTAGTGGCTGTTTGCCTTCCTCTGGGCCTCTAACTTTCTAGAGGCATAAATCCTTTGATAATTGGCCAGTGCTACATATCTATCAGTATCATCTTTTCTATGAAATACAGATACAAAACAAAGGGCAAAAAAAAAGTGGTGATACCTCGGTGTTCAGATTCGATCCATTTAAACAAATAAAACCAAAAAACATATAAAAGAAAAACAAAATAAAAGAAAAGAAAACAAAGATAGCACTATTAAACCTGTGCCAGATTGTAACAATTATATAGACTACTAAATAATCTAGTTTAAACTCTATGCTAGTTACTTATTATCTATATTGAGATATATAAAATATCTATTCTTGAGTAGAGGCCAAGTCCAAAATTTCTCTTGCGGTCTCACCGAGTTCGGTGCAGTATCCTGCAACCAGTGCTGTCACCTGGACTGAACTATTCCACTGGAACATATATTTTACATCAGTCCAGTCTACTGAAACACAGGGTACTGAAATTAGAAGTATCATCCAAACAATTTTACAGTTTACGTAATATAAACTTTAATGTTTCTGATTGGCTATATGTTGTAAAACATTTTAATACGTACATCAAACTTAAATGTTATTTTATTTGACATTAAGATTGGAAGATAAAATTTTATATACATACGTACATAGAAATTATATATGTTAGCTAGAAATAATTTTTTATTTTGGTGAGATTTTGAAGGTTGAGTTTTGTTAGCAAGTTGAATAAACATAATAAGTTTCGTATTTATGAATATTTATCATTTTGTTAACATTAATTTATTAATGAATATAAAGAAAGTTTTTTAATTAAATTATTTAAAATAAAAAAATAATTCAGAATTACTGTCAATACTTTTATATAATGAACAAATATAAAGTATTACTTACAGATTTAAATAAGCATTAGAAATTGAGCCAAATAATATAGATTTATAGAAATTGTTTCAAATAAATCTATATTAAACAATTGTAATGAATAAAGGAGACAGACATAGAAAATTCCTTATACTGTAGACTTAAGGTTGTTAGAAATTAATAATTTGTGGAATGTCAATAGTTAACGGTTGAAGATTAATTCAAAGGAGGCGTTTGCACTAAAATTTGTGAACTATTAGAAATAATCAAATACGAAAAATTACTTACTGATTTAGATAAATCATAAAATCAATCTAGATAGCATATAGACATTATATAACTGTTAAAGATATCATAGTATACCACACAAATTGTAGATGCCAAAAAACTTCAGAACAATATATCAGCGTGATGCTACAATAATTAAATATACAGGCTCTTAAATTTATAGTAAATAGTTCTATCACGATACATAAGAAAATAATTAGATAATATACATTTGCTTTAGATAATTGTGAGCTATATACTTATCAATAATAAGAATACAAAAAGTTATGCTTGTACTAATAAACTAGATTAAATTTACTGAATAAATTGTTAGAAGTTGAATGATGAAGCGATTATCATATAATAATTAATTTATACTTAGTAAGTAGTTGTTTCAGTTAATAAAATGGTTTTTTATGAAATTATTAAAACTGACAAACTGAAATCAAATTTTATTCAAATTTGGTTAGCACCAGATCAGCATTTAATTTTTATAATAAATATATGATAATCCTTGCATTTGTGCGTGTTATTAACTTGTCTTTCTTAACTTGATACGTATCACTATGTGCTTAGAAATCGAATCTAAAAGATAAGCTATTAGTTTAAGATAAGCAATTAAAAGACTATATTGAGATAGTTAAAGTAACTATAGTAGCAATAACTGTTATAATACAGTATTAACAAGATATTATCTGGTAAGCGAAGAATATAAAAATATATTCTTTCAATTATGTTGTTTTAAATATAAATAAATTGCGTAATATGCTTTTTTTTTAGTACAACACCTACTTATCATCGCTTGACTCCATATATTGAGGTTCTAAAAGAAGTAGCTAATATATGCAATAAGAAGGCTATATGTCAGGCTTGTGTTGAGTTTAAAGGTCATGCTTATGCATTAGAAGAAAAGTTTATAAATACCAAATCTTGTTGTAAAGGTTATTTTCGAAAATATCCTTGGTTTAAGGAAAAGTATGGTAAGGAAAATGCTTAAGCTATAATTGATGACACTGATAGTGAAACTACTTTGGAACAGCATCGCAATAAAAGATTACATATCAATATTGATGAATGTAGATATTTTTAATTTAGAATTTAATTATTTTTAAGTTATATTATTAAATAATTTTTTGTTTTAAAACTGATGAATTTGTTGATACAAATGAATCATTTTCACAATCTATAGAAGATACTACTTCTTATAATATGCCATCTTTTAGCCAAAAGTCGAATATAAAAATTAAGCATAATTAGTCAAAAAATAGTTTATCAAAAAATAGACCAATAGATAACTTTATGATTCAAAATTTCAAAGAAGCTGATCTTGATAAGTTTTGTTATCTATTACTTAAGGCAACTATTTCGAATGATTGGAGTTTTCAATGGGTAGATAATTCTGATTCTATTGTACTTTTTCAATTTACTAATTCTGTGGCTAAGTTACCAAAATAAAGAAAATTAAGTGATACTATTTTAAGATGTGCATCCAATCAACTTGTTTATAATATTCAACAAAAAGCTCAAAATGATATATATGGAGTTACTCTTATTTTAGATGGGTGGACAAATATTGTAAATCAATCAATTCTCGGAAGTGTATTAGTTACTAGCTCAGGTAAAGTTTTAGTATGGGAAGTAAAAGAAGTTAATAGTAATTGTATGCGAAAAGCTGATGTTAAATGAAGTATTAATAAAATTATGGATAGTGTTAAAGAAAAAGAAATAAGAATTGTAGTGATTGTAACAGATAGTTATTTTTTATATGCAGCTGCTTGGTAAGTTAATTATTAAATAATTTGAGTTTTATATCGTTGTAGTTAATTAAATTAAATAATTTTTTTTTTAAATTTTAGAAAAGAACTACAAGCTAAATATCCTGAAATTGTTTACCTACTATGTTTTGCACACCAGATTAATTTATGTATTAGCGAAATATTTAAAGAATCATCAAGTTATAAAAAAACAGCAAAACAAGCAACACATATAGCCTCCTATTTTCGAAGTAAAACTCATGTCTATTTTATTAAAAAACTTTGAGATATTCAAGTGTCTTTAATCGTTCCTAGAGATACTCGCTGAAACAGCTATTACTATTATTTTAGTAGTCTTTTAAAGTCTAAAGAGGCATTAAAGGTAATAATATATAAATATTTATACTATAAATTATATATATGTATTTAAGAGTTATTAAATTTTATTTTTTATTTTAGTCTCTTGTTGCATGTTATGAGCCTGGAATTGATAATGAAAACAATCAATCTAATGATTTAGTTTTACCAAGTTCTATTTGTAATCCTATCAATAGTAATGAATTTTGAAAAAATGTATTAGCAATTAAAAAGCTATTATTATCTTATTGTGGATGTTTGAATCTTTTATAACGAAACAAAGCAAAGTTGTATGAAGTTTTTCATTCATTTGGATATTTTTATCAACTTTTATTAGAACTTTTAGACTATAATTTTGGTCATTGACTTTGTGAACAACTTGAATCCCGATGGAAGCAATGGGAGCAACTAATTATTATATTATCTTGGATTCTTCATTCTGTACATCAATTTTTTTTTTTTGTTTATACCCTAGTACTATTGCTAGGGGCGTGTGTAGCGCTCATTTATTAAGGTCAATTTATCAGTGTCCTTACATTATATTACATATATTAGGGGCCTTCCTTAGCTAAACTATACCTCCCTCCCATCGTCCGTTTTTCCCGACTAACTCCAGCAGGTCCACCATGCCGGTGCCCCGTACCTTTTTGGATTGTAGGCAGCTTTAAGGAACTACACATTTCACCAGGTCATTTTATAGGTTGACCTTTTTTCGTCTGCCCCGGGAACTACTTTCTATTTTTGGTTGGTGCAGTGTCGTCAGATGCCCCTTGTTCTGTAATTTCTTGTATCATTCCTATTTTCCTTTTATAGTGGATGGCTCTTATGTTTACATACGTACATACGATGTTTCTTGTCAGATTTTCTGGGTGTCGCATGACTTAAGTGGCTATGTCACGCAACTCTTATCACTGTAGTACCTTATTCGTAAGTAGAAAGAGATACAATTCCTTATTGTAGATCCTTACCATTCGTGGTCCTAACACATTCACTAGAGTCGAACTGGCAACCTTGCGAATGTGACTCCGGAGCGCTAACCACTATGCTATCCGACTCAGGGTCATCTGTACATCAATTTAATTAACTAAATACACTTTCAAAATTAAACTGGGTTGATTTAAAAGAATTTCTTTTATATTATTATATCATATGGACTAATTCTACACCTGTTACTATTTTACGTGAATTTAATAACTATAAAATGAAGAAATATCCTTTTAATAATATAACATTTAAACAATTTGATGATAATGTTTTTGTATATTAGAATTGGTATTCAAGTAAATGTAAAGAACTTGGCTTTGTCGCATGTAGAATTATGAGTATTTGTGTAAATGCCGCATCTGTTGAAAGATTATAGTCTTCAATGGGTCATTTTCATTCTGCAAAGTGTAGTTGTATGAAGGTAAATAAATAATTTTTTATGAAATTTTATTTAAATTTTAATACTAATTCTTATTATAGAATACAAAGGTACTTGCTATAGTACAAATTAAAGATGTAATGAATCAAGCTTATAGAAATCATGAATTAAAACAAATCAAACAAATTTATGAATCCAAAATCACTTTAACTTTACTAACTAAAAATAAAAATCAAGATTTAGAAGACGAAAAAGATAATCAATCAAATACATCAATAGAAAGTAATGATAGTGAAAATGAAATAAGTAATAGAAATTTAAATATAAAAAATACCAATCAATTTAATCAAATATTAGATTTATAGGAATCAATGTTAACAAATGAAGATTTGCAAGATATAGAGAATTTAGAAGATTTGGAAGATTTGGAAGATAAAGAACAAAAGTAACTGTAGAATCATTACGATCTTTTGAATATCCACAAAGAAATAAGTATGTTAAATAGAGATTAGAAGATTTGTTTAATAGTCAACTAGATTCTTTGGCCTATATTAACAAATTATAAATTTTAACTACTTTGTATTTTCAAGTTGTTTTAGTTACTTATATAAGAATTTTTTTCATTATACAGTGCGTACAACCTAGTCGCAGCAAATAAAAATTTTTAGTAGCCAAATTTATATTTTATTTTTTATATATATGAAGAGGCCAATTTGAAAATTTAGCTAATATTTATATATAAAGTGGCCAAATTTTAAATTTTTAATATATATAAAGTAGCCAAATTTTAAAATTTTAATATATATCAAATTAAATTAATTGTTTAAAGAGGCCAAATTTGCTTTTTTACATATATATAAAAAGTGGCCAAATTTCATATTTAATTATAAAAATACTATAACTTTAACCTACTATAACTTTTTAATAAATAGATTTAAAAAAATTTTAAGAACTTGGAAGTGTTTAGCTTGTTTTAATTTAACATTTTAAGATAGTATTTTTTGTTTACTATTTTTTTTGAAGAAGGATTAGCAATTTGAATTTCATCAATTTTATTTGCTAGGACTAGGTTGTATGCACTGTATAATATACAAGTTTAAATAACTTGTATAAACTAAATTTAATAAATAATAAATAATAACTTAAAAGCCTGAAGTATTTAAAGATTTATATTACAAAATACAGTTATTAAATTTTAGTCAATTAGTATAACTTTATAATAAAAAAGACAATCTTTATCTTTTTTATTAGTAATAAACTTACTTGATTGATTAAACTATCTTTCACTAATTAAAAATTAAGCTTTAATTATAAATTTAGGTGTCTAAAATTAGTTATAATTTTTTGAAATAACTAGACTAGAATAACTGGACTAGAATACTTCCAGTATTTATTCTAGTCCAATCCAGTAATTTTTTTAACTAGACTTATTCTAGTGATAGTATTGCCTGCAACATATTTTCGTGCTAGTACTTGTTCCTGGGCAAAGTTAAGCGACCTACGCTTTTTTAGCTTCTGTAGATCTTGGTGTAAACACCGTAACCTCTTGAGGTAACTGATGCAATGCTATTATCCAAAAGTAGACATGTACTTTTGTAAATGACTTTTCTTTTTCAGCAGTGATTGTTGTTATCGATCAATCAATGGGGTACACTGTTTTTCTCACTTTTTGGTGAAAATTTTGAAAAGTCCAAGAGTAGAGTTTGGTGTAGGATTTCGTTTGCAGGTATCCTTAAACTTCAGTAGTGAATGTATTGAAAACTCACTTGTTGTTCTCCTTAGACCAACTATTTTTAACTTCGTCAGCAGAAGCAAAGCTTCTATTAAAATTTTCTGTACAAGGGCACCAACACCTTCTCACCAATTATCTTGTACAGGAACACCAACACCTTCTCACCAATTATCTTGTACAGGAATGCTTTTAACTTGCATGCTGAATATACAGAGGAGTCTAGAAAAAAAAAGAAAATCTTGACTTCTGTAAAAACTGTTATTTGTAGTTGTCTTTTCTACTTTTTCCTACAAGTTTCTGTTTTCGTTTGCTGTAAGTTTGGTACGAGTGATTGTCAGTGAGAGGTGATTACAATTTATTATTATTATTATTACTTTTATTATTACTATTATTATTTTTCTACGACTAATTAGATTTAAAAAAATTATTATTTTATTTCTATAAAATATTATAAAAGTAACTTTTATTTTGCTTAGTTTCATTTTGCCGCAACTCCTAAAGCTCACCCTCTGAATTTGTGACCCGAACTTGCAATCTATTTCATTTGATAAACAATTGCCTATACTGAGATTCTTGTATATATTCCTCTCAGATTGCTTCAAAGGTCAGAGAATTTCTGGCCATAGTTTGTGCCTTCAAAGTCTGAACTTGGTTGTAGAAAGCAACCAAACAACTGTAGATTAAGCTTCCTTTTTCTTTCCTAGGCATCTAAAAACAAAACTTAATTAGAAACTATTTGTCTCTAAGTATATACACTTAAAAAAAACAAAAAGAAATAAAAATGTACTGGCAGAGCACTTATTTCAAAAATATAACAAGTAAGGTTTATTACTTGCTATATCAATGGAAATAAGTTCCTAACCTACTTGCATAAGAGAGAAAAATATAAAAGAAAAATATCTACTTGGACCAAATATACAGCACATCAAAGTAGATGACTGGCCAAGCCACAGGCATCTAAATTAAATGAGATTTAGTATACAGTCTGAAAAGTGTATATACCTTTGAATAATTAACTAGAGGACAAGCAAAAAGGTTTTTGACAAGAAAAGTTTTTAAATAAAAACTATTAACAAAAGAAACAAAAAAGTTAAAAATGTGAAAGTAATAAAGAAAAGAAGACAAAAGAAAGAGACTTAAACTGAAAGTTAGAAGAAGACAAATTTTAGTTAAATGAAAAACAAAACTGAGGGAAATAAATAATAAAAAATCGCTATTGTTTTAAAAAAGAAGTCAACAAACAATTAGCTATAACAACAACAGACACAAAATAACTATCGATTAGTAGATATAAAATAACAACAAAAAAATTTCAATAAAGAAATAAAAGAAAATAGAAGAAATTAGAAGTATTTAGAACAAAGAAAAAAAATTAATTAATCAATATGAAAATTGTGTACAAATAATTGCGAAATTTGACAAGCAATATGATATTGCTATTTTTAGAGAGAGGAAAAACACAAAAAAACTATGCAGTAGTACAATTTTTATGCAGATTCACAGATAAAATTTGTATTAGCATATGTTTAAAATTTGCACAAACATGTGTTTAAAATTAATAAACATATACAAACATATGATTTGCAATTTATGTAAACATGTGGTTTAAAGTATGAGTTCTATAACAATTAAACAAAATATAAATAATAGAAAGCATGGGTTAAACAGAGCAAATAAATTAATTGCCATATGGTTGCAATTAATTTAAGAAATTATAAATCTTAGCAACACAATAAAAGTAATAGAAAATATATAAAGAATAAAATTTTTTCTTCCTTGAAACTAACAAAAATTACAAGAAATAGACTAAAAATGACTACCCAAAACAACAACTAACAATCTATTAAATCTATATTCCCTTGACAACTGAAGTACCTGCTTGGCTAAACTTCAAAATCTATAATTAAATTAAGGAATTTAGGCAATTTCTTCTTTACTATAAATATAAAGGAACTATCATCTTTGAATCTGAAAACACCATTATTATGGAAAGTATGAAGAAATCTGTTAATTTTTTTCAACTCTCTAAAAACAAGCTGGATAGGATTAAAGAGGATTTGGTTCATACAACTTCTGCCTAAATTAACTCTGTAACTGTCTTCTACTTCAGTGCTAAACCTTGAGACAAATACTTTGATACTACTTATAGCAAATATCAAAAGGCTGCCAAACAACAAAATAAAAAGGCCATATTCATGCCTTAGTTTATGCCTATTATTTAGAAGAGTTGTTGACTGAAAAGCCTAAAGAAAATCTTGTTAATATTTTTCATAATCAGAAGAAAACTTGAACTCGAGTTTATACTCTATTCTTTTATATAGATTATGAACAGATATATCAAACTAAGAAAATTTCTCTTCAAACCTTAGACAAAATAGATACTTTGGAGTTTTAAAACTTGGTAACTTATGTCCAAGCACTTAGAAACAGAAATTAAATTTGCAGAGCAAATTTCTAAAAGTTAAGAAAGCTGTTACACTAGTAGTTGTAATGTTATACAAATTAATTATAGAATATTATTTCATATTATATATTATATTTTATATTTTATTATTTATATTTTATATTAATTAAATTATATTATTAGATATATTTTATTAAAATGGAATAGTTAGAAATATATGCTAGTGTATATCATATGCCACTGTATATTATATACCAGTGTATATCATACACCAGTGTATGCTATATGCCAGTATATGCCATATGCTAGTATATACCATATACCAGTATATATCACCTGCTATATGGTTATACTGTATATTAGTATATGCTATCTGTCATATGGTTGTATGCCAGCGTATACTATCTGCCACATGGTTGTATGCCAGTATATACTACTTGAATGTATACTAGTATATACCACTTCTATAGATATATAAAGGGAGAGTTTCTTCCCTTAATTCCTACAAATATTTTCCTCTACAATTTCTACCTTCTCTTAGATATTAGATTGGCCATCTAATATTTGTGGTCTCCCTTTCTAACATGAATTGTATTACCTGTATTATCTGTACTATCTGTATTACTCGTGTAATTTATTTGTACCACCTTATTACTAAATAAACTATTCTATATTTATAAATATTGTCTTATAATTTAAATATCGCTATAACAATATATAGAACTGAGTTGTATTTTATCATGATAATTTTTTAATTCACTAAAGGATTATCAATTAAGGGTAGAAGGTACACAAATTACTTTTCATAGTAAATATATAGTAAATTATATCTATATATTATTTATTTTGTACTATCTAAAAAAATTTGTACTACTTAGAAAAATTTACCAGTAAACAAATTAAGTGATTATTATGTAATACTCTCTACTCTTAACTTTATAATGTAGAAGTACTATTTAAGGATAGATATATATAGATCATTTTTATATGATCTATATGGTATATTAGATTTTATATAGTAAATAAAAAAATGCAGATAAAATATAGTATAGGTGACACCTACTTTAAATCAATTAATTATTTATTAAAATATCACTTATACTATATTTAATCCAAAAAATGCTTCTAATAAAACTTCTTAATATCTTAACTAATTTGTATAAAATTTATATGAATAAATATAGGTGTAGCTGATGGCTACATGTAGCCTGTGTAATGTAAGAGTAATAGTAAGTTATACAATCATTAGTATAGCATATAATATGCATATGCATATAAAAAAATATTGATTAGATATTAGTCTTTTATATAAAAGAACAAACCAAAGTTAATAGAAAGTGCAAGCAAATTGTTTAATAACCTTTGTGTTAAACTTAAGTAGTTCTATACTACACTGGTTATTCTATCTTTGACAACACTAGCATGATAGACATTTGTATTTTTTTTTTTCATGGTGCAAAGTAAGAAATTAGAACGTTTGCATTTCATTGGTGTATAAGTATTTAATGTATAACCAAGATGTGTTACTAGTAAGATAAATAGTACAGCAGCTATATATTATTAGTTTACTTATTACAGTTCTGTCAGCTCTAGTTGTTCTATTCGTTCCAGCTGTCATATTTAAACCAGCCGTCCTATTTGTTTCAGCCGTCCCATTCATTTCAGCTATCTAGTGATCTATTATAACAAGGTAGGCAAGTTCCTTCAATTAAATATTACAGTGATTGTATATTATTGAGTTACTTACTTGTTTCATTATTGGTCCTAGGGCTTCGGTGTTTCAAGTGTTTTGGTGTTTCAGGTATTCTAGATGCTTTAGCTATAAAACAAGGTAAATTATTAGCTATCTCTTTCAATTGAATATTATAACAGCTATATATTATTGGGTTACTTACCACAATTCTGTTGTTTCTAGTTCCAGGTGTTTTGGGTGTTCCAGGTGTTTTGGTATTTCAGGTGTTCCAGGTACTTTAACTATAAAATGAGGTGGGTTATTAGCTATCTCTTTCAATTGAATATTACAACAGCTATATATTATTGTGTTACTTACTATAGTTCTGTTAGTTCTAGTTGTTCTATTCATTCTAGCTATCAAGTTGTTATATTCAAACTAGCTGTTATATTCAAACCAGCTATCGCATTTAAACCAGCTATCATATTCAAACTAGCTATCACATTCAAACCAGCTGTTTCATTCGTTTTATCTACAAAATATATAAAGCAAGGTAGTTATTAGTTAGCTTTAATTAAATATTACAGCAATTATATAATATTGATTTACTTACTTTAGTTCTATTAGCTCTAGCTGTTTCATCCAAGTATTAATAATGCAAGATAAAGATATATATAATATATATAAAGCAAGGTTATTATTAGTAATTTATTTAGTGAAATATTGTAGTGAGCCTATTCAAGTATATAAAAGTTAAAACTATAGTAGCTTATTAATAAGCTACTATAGTTTTAACTTTCATATATTTGAATAGACCTAGTATTTAATTCATTAGTCATTTATCTACTCCTTTATTATAATAGTTCTGCCAATGAAAATTTTATTGATGTTTATTGTAATTCCAAAAACTTTTCTAAAGTTATTTATGGTGCAAAATATGATAATAGAGTAAGAAGACGTTGTCATTATAAATGTAAATATCAGAGTAATTATCAAGAAAAAAAAAATTGATAATTGTTGAAAACTAGTGTAATATATATTCCAAACGTAGTAGACATCCATGGTTCATAAATGCTACATATCCAAAAACAACTGGTATTATTAGTATCACCACCTTAAGTTTAGAACATAGAGACCATCCTTTAGATCTCCTTACTAGTAAATTTGGTCTTACTTATCGAACGTTAACTGAGCCAATGTTGGCTGATATAGAGTTTTAGACAACAAAAGAGAATCTTAATATATATACTCAATGGCAATTACTTGAAGCTAAATATAAAAATATTTTTTTTTTTATCCCAAGACCTGTCAAATGCTATTTAAAAGGTTAAAACTGAATAAAAGATTGATCATGAAGCTGCAACACTGGTTAATCACCTTATTAAATATAAAGCTGAGGATATTAGATGGACTATAAATTGGCATGTAGACTCAGCAACAAACACTTTAGTATCAATATTTTGGATGACTTCAGAACAATATGAACTTTACTTATAATATAGTAATATTGTACAATATGATAATACTTACTTTACTAATAAATTTAAAATAGCGCTTGGGCTTTTTGTTATAGTTGATAATAATAATAGATCTAGGTTAGGTGAGCAAACGTTAATGACTGATGAAACTTTAGAAAGTTTTGAATGGGTGTTTAATTCACTTTATAAAGAAACAAATATCTTCCCTTCAGTTATTATAACAGACAATAACCTTGCTATTGATGCTGCAATTGCAAACAGAATGCCTGATACTTACCATATACATTGTATATACCATATTAGACAAATTTTATTAAAGAATTTAAAGTCTAAGTTGGGTTTAGAATATAATGATTTTATTAAAGCTTGGTATAAAATGAGGAATACAGTATCTCAAACTGAATTTGACCATCTTTGGGATTCTTTACTTGAACAATACCCTGCTTCAGAATTATATCTTAATAGAATGCTTAGTTCTCAAAAACATAAATAGGCATTTTCTTATATTTCACGTATTTTTATAGGAGAGATTCAAAGTATACAAAGAGTAGAAGGCCAAAATGCGATAATTAAAAGTGCTATTAATAGTTACACATCTCTCTTAGATCTTTTTAAAAAAATTAAAATACAACTCAATCATGTATCTACTACAATACAATATAAAAATTAGGTTCATTCCGTAACTGGTTTAATGCTTATACATTCAAGTTATGACTTTTTACCTATAATTGATAAATAGATTGTTGACTATTTAACTCCCACTACCCTTTATATACAAAAACAAGAAATAGCACAAGCCGTCTGGTATGTTACTTTACTTATATGGGCTGCAATCAATAAAAATCAAGCAGATTTATGAAATAAATCTGTTTGATTTTAATTGATTGCAGTCCATATAGTTATTATCAGTGTTGGATTATAATTTGCTATGACCTGTTGAGTAATTATTGGTTATGATTTTACAACCTGTTATAAAAAAATATATTAGATACACTCCTCAACAAGTTGATAAGAATTGTGCTTTGGAGATTGAGAATGAAGATGAGTCACTTAATACTAGTTTAATTGAAAATACTATTGACATTCCATTAATAGTCTTAAAAGAGCTTATTTTAACCAATAGATATAATAATATTGTTACGATCTGGAAACTTGTTTGCCATAGATGCACAAAAAAAATTATGTTGTTCTTTTTGATAATAAATCTCACCTTTATACATGCCTGAGTTTTGTCCAATGTGATATCGTTTGCCATCACTTTTTTTACCTGTTAGGAAATTCAATGTATGCAAAATTTTATGTAATGTTAATATCTAAACAATGGTATAATGATGAAAAACAATGTAAATTTACCTCAATTCTTTGACAACAACTTTTTACTGATGGCTTTCAGGAACCTTCTGTTAATACCTTACAAACTAAAACCTTTCTAGAAATGCTTTATAAAATGGTTAATATTCCTTATGAACATGTTTATAATTTTTTAAATCAACGAAAAGAATATACAATAGCTAATGGACTTTTGAAAAAAGCAATTTAATTGAGGTTAGATGTAAAACTGTCAGCAATACAAGAGTTAAATGATTTTATAAAAAACTTTATAACAAAATATACATCAAATCAGAAATTACTTCGAAGAAACTCTAGAACTTTGTAACTAAATCTTACAATATACTGAGCAGCTCTGATGAATCTGATAGCTTTGATAGTTCTGACTCAAATTATAATAACGATAAATTAGATTCTTAAGATATTGAGAATATAAATCTATCTTTAATTAAGAATCTTATCATTTATGCAAGAAAAGGTGCTCCATGCAAAACAAGATTTAAGGGATCATATGAGGTAAAACAGAAAAATGCAAAATGTTAGAAAACTAAAAAACGAAAACCTACAGAATGTCAGCAATGTCATAAAGTTAGATATAATAAAGCCGGATGTGAAAAATGGCATCAAAAAAATTAAATTCTATATTCTTTTTAGATATAAGATATTGTGTTATTGAGATCTGTAATGTATATATGTATAAATTGATATTTATTGCTTTTAATATCTACTAATTACTTTGAATTGTTATATATATATTTTTTTTTAATGTTAAGGTAACCACTTTGGGGTCTGGCATGTTTTATTAACTTTGGATCGAAAGCCAGGGCAACCACAGGGCTACTCCTGACTTTGTTACATTAACGAGGATACCTACTAGCCATATGTACAACTTTTGGTTGTCTATTTAAGCAGTCTTGTATATGTAACCCATATGAACTACACTAGATGTCATATCTGTAATCCACTATTACTTGAGTTACCCAATTAAACTCTCTGATCAACTTAGCACCATCAGGATATTCTCCCCAAAGAGGAACTGCTGCTAAAGCCCCTTAGGACTACTTTATCCTCGTGATAAACCTACTAGAGCGGTCCATGTTCTATACATGTATCACCTAGATTTTTGGTAACTTACGCCTAGGCCGCAGCCAAGTACTTGCAGCTTTTTACCTCTGCTACCATTACCTACTCTGTGCCTTTGCAAAGTTCATCCAAACCCCAGCACCCACTTTACAAACTATTAACAGTACTTTGATGCCAACCTCGGTGCCTCAAACTTCCAATCCAGATGGCCCGGGAGGGACCAGTGGGTGTCCCCTAATATTCTGAATGAATCCTTTTTTCTCCAGCTGGTCCGGCGGCCCAGTTGGTATAGTGCTTGCCAAATACTCAGTCTTCGTTCAGTTTGCCTATAGTGTCCGGTTCTCCACATGATAATCCTTTATATAGTGCCATCAAAGATCTGTGCTATTTCTCTAATCAGGACTTCCCAAGCGGGCTTCCATATCCTTCGATCCCTTGGATTTATTTGGCTGCTTCATCTGAGATTTGTGTAACTCATACATTATTCTATGTTTTACAACCTTCCAATACAAGTTGGTGAGACCAAAGTCACAGGTGCTTACCTGATTGATATGTCATACAGTTTTACTATAACGCATTTCCGCAAATTCGAATTTCGTCGCTAGTGGGATTCGAACTCTTGTCTTGCCGCTTGGGAGTGCGACAACTTACCAATTACACTAAGTCGCCACACCCTTATTGTTATATATTTGTGACTAAGTACTTATCTGAAGTTATATGAAGTTTTTGTCTTGAAAATAACCTTATAGAACATAGTAAATACTATGTTTTATAAGGTTATTTTCAAGGCAAAAACTTTATATATTATTATTAGTAAGATTATAGTTAATATTAATTAAAGTTAGTAGATTAGAATTAGTAAGTTAGCAGTTAAAGTTACTCTAAATAGTTTATATTAGAATTAGAAAGTTGGTGGTTAGAATTAGATTTAGAAATTTGTTGTTAGCAAGTTATAATTAGCAAGTTATTAAGTAGATTAGTGGATAATTGTATTAGATTAGCAATATTGTAATTAGTGGATTATAATTAGCAAGTTATTAAGTAGCTAGTTTAGTGATTGATTATTAGGGTATATTGTAGTTAGATAGTTAGAGTTAGAAAGTATTGTTAGTTTGTTAGTTAGTAGGTTGTTAGTTAGTAGGTTGTTAGTTAGTAGGTTAGAGTAAGATTTATAGTTAGAAAGTATATATTAGTTAGTAGTTAGCAGGTTAAGGTAGGATTTAAAGTTAGAAAGTATATATTAGTTAGTTAGTAGTTAGCGAGTTATAGTTTAGAGTTAGAAAGTATATATTTGTTAGTTAGTTAGTTAGAGTTAGGATTTCAAGTTAGAAAGTATTTGTTAGTAGTAGTTAGTTAGCAGATTTAGAGTTAGAGTTTCAAGTTAGAAAGTATTTGTTAGTAGTAGTTAGTTAGCGAATTTAGTATTAGAGTTAGAAAGTATTAGATAGTGAATTATAAGTAATATAGTATTAACAACAAGCGATTGAAACTTGTTTGCTATTAGAATATGACAAATTATATATGTAACAAATATATACTATTTATATAAGTTAATTAGTTAATAATTCATTGTCATGTCTAAAATTGGTCACACCCCAGTAGCAATTATCTATAATAACTTATAATATATATTATTTATATAATTATATAGTATAATTATATAATATATATATATATTAGAATATATTTATTTATCACTGGATGCAATATATATTATATACCGCAGGACATGATATATATTATATACCACCTTTATATATATCACGTGATACTATATTAAATTTAAACTACAATATAACCAACAAAAATTATAATACATGATGATTGATAGCAAACTAAACTACTCAACTCAAAAATTAGCATAGGAACTACCTTTAGTGCTTTAACAAAAAGTTTTCTTTGTGCGATTTTACTATCTAACTTGCTAATATCTAACCTCAATACAAATGCTAACTCTAACTTAAATGAGCTTGAAGATTTTTTAGTATGTTGCAAATACAGTCACATGTTCGTACTCTTTTGAGGCGATACTGAAGAAGATCAGCAAACTAATCAATCGTTAATTTTTATTTAATATTGATTAAAAGAATTCATTTTGTCAAAAATCACTCATAACTTAACAATTGGGTGATTTTACTAAAAATACCAAGCCCTAAAGTAAGAACTCTAAAATAGTTAAATTTTCAATTGTCACATACCTGAGATTTTAACTGCCAACAGTATCGTATCTATGCATATATATACATATATGCATATATACACATATTCACTCTACACTAACCTTTATATTGTTTAAAAACATTTTTTGCTAGGTAAATAGATACATTTTGTATGTATGTTTAAAAACGTTATACTGTTTATTTTAATTATATGATGAACCTAAAACAAAGTTTAGACTATTCTCACTATTGCTAATTATTAATTTCCCTTCACATTAGTATTGTGATCTAAACTCAAAATTCTAAACTAATTGTCAACTCATCTATATGTATAATAAACCAAATCATCTAATAATAGTCAAAATACTAATTACCGCTATATTCAATTATACCTGTTCATTTTCTTTATTAGGACATCTGAGAGCATAATAACCTTTTTTATAGCACAATCCGCAGTTACGTCTATTTGCCTTAATTTCGCTATGATCACTATCAACATCATCAGAAGATACTATTTGTGTTTTCTTATTACTACCCTTACTTTTATCTTCATTAGAGGCTTTCAATCTTTTGCTAGGAAGTCTACCTTTCTCTTTACATACTACTGGATCTTTAATAGAATCAACATCATAAATATGTCCATCAGATAATTCAATGCTAACCGAGGCTTAATTTTCTTTAGTGTACATTTGTTGAATTTAAGTATTCTGTATTACCTCCTTTTTAGCAATATAAGATAAAATGCGTTTATTTAAATTATTTTAATCATTATCCTCTAACAAATAATTTAGTGCCTTTTTAAAATAACCCATTAAATGACCATAATCCATTTTTTTTTGTAAACAATGTTGAACTTGAGCTTTCTGAATATTATAATGATGTTTAGGAATAAGATTGCACATATTATTCTCATTTTGATATTTTTGTAATGATGTGCTAACAAATGGTTTGCTATATATAGAATCAACCTGCTTCCAAGCATTGTCATACAACCATCTTGTCAGCATCAACATTATATGAAATAAAGCATTCGAATTTTTAACCATTAATTTAAAGTAATGATGGCAGATAATCCTGTGTAAAACTAATAATAAACATGTATACAAATGCGTACCATTATTAAGTATAACAATATGCTAATATGAATGTGGTGCTATATATGGAATAATTTTTTGATTTCTTTAATCCACTCTTTTAAAACTGAATTTAAGAGTGATTGTAAATAGATTTGTTGAAAATCATAATAATCCTCAATGTTTTCTACATCTTCAATGTCTTCTACACTTTGTTCTTGATTACTTTAATTCTAAATAAATGCATTTGTAATTAAATATACTCAAGTATAATATCAAAAAAAAAAAATCATACCGTTTGACTGTAGTTAAGTTCGCATTCCCTTTGATTCAATTGATCTTCAAATATGAAAGCATAATTAATATATAATTTGTCACATTTATAAAATACAGATTCACATATTTGTTTATGAATTTTCTCAATAATTTGTAGTATGAAATATTTTTAAATTTTGTTATTAATATTGAGAAAATCTTTCTACAATAAATGATTGATGATGTTTTATTGACTTGTGCTTTCATTCAATAAAATTTTTATTTAATCCTCTTTTTCTATATGAAGCTCTAAGGCTTTAGCTACTTCAGACATATTAGAACTAGACGCAACCGCCTTATATATAAGTGCATTAATAGATTCAACACATTGTATAGATTGCATCCTGATCGTAAATTTTCTGCTTATAAAGAGCTTGGCCCAAAATTGTTGGGATGAGTAAATAGGATCATTCAAATATTTACTAGCACAAGAATATTTATCTAGTAATAATTGAAATCGATGCTCAAAAATATTAATACACAATGAATTTCGTGTCTTCCAGAAATCAGAAATAAATTCCTTATAATCTATACTTCCAAGCTTGGCTTTAAGCTATTTAGATAAATTTTGGAAAAGGTGCTATATATAGTGAACATGATACGAGTTTTTATATATGATCTGACACACTGCATCCATTGCTTGATCCATATCAGTCATTATAACCTGGGGCTCTATATTAGTAGCATCCAAAGTTTGTTGTAGAATCCATTCATAACTCTCCTGAGTTTCGTCACTTAAAAAAGTTTGTATATCCAATTGTGATTTATCATAATTGTCAACAAAAATAAATAATGATAGAGGAAAATTATATTTATTGGTCCTTGAAGTATTATTATATAAAACGATATCAGAATACTTAGACCATAATAAAATCTGATTTGCCATCATCCAAAAAATCCCACATAATCGATTACTATCAAGATTTATTAAAAGTTGAACAAACATCATAGGATCTTCTTTTAGTCATTTGAGTAAAAACTTTAGTAAATTAAGAGCATCAGATCCAACTATCCTTTTTTTACGTTTAATTTTTTGAATTGTATTCGATAAATCTTGTATAAAGAAAGTTGGTTGGGAAACAAAGATTGTAACAAATTTCTTATTGTATATGACTGCATGTTCAATTTCATTCATTATAGATTCATCAAACTTTCGAAATGCTGTAGCAAATCTTATATTTTTAGCATCAATGGTATGATTGTATACAAGATGTGTGAGAGTAATATGTACAAAACCACCAACTTCTGGATTACTTAAGTTGATATGCCATTTACAATTTATTTTTTTTGATCCTTTATTATGCTGTTGTTCAATTGGTTTAGTCTTATTAGGCTTATACTTTTCAGCATTTTCATATACAAGCATTCTTTTCTTAACTAAAGGATTATTTGATTCATTGAATTGATATTTATGATATTCAACTCTATCATGATTTACTACAAATCCTTTCTGCTACCCAAATTTTTTTATATAGTCTTCTGCGATCGACCAAGAATCAAAACACATCCCAGCAGATATCTCTATAGGTTGGCTTAAAGAATAATTTTTAAAACCTTAATATTCCAATTTCTGCTCAAAATTCCCAAAACCTTAAACAAAAAAAATAAATAAATAAAATTGAATTTGAATTGCTTTGTGATACTACACTATGTTATTTTAGTACTTTAAACTAACCTTCATTAATTTCTATAAATTCATTCACAGGTTCGCCACCCATATTTTTACATTCCACATTTTCACATTCTATATTTTTACATTCTATATTTTTACATTCCACAGTTTCACATTCCACAGTTTCACACAGTTTTACTCTCTACGGTTTTGCCTTTCACTGTCTTCATATTGTTACTTACTTTCACATTTTTACATTTCAGAGTTCCACCTTTCATAGTTTCACCATTAGAGATCTTCATATTTTTACCTGTTACAAGTTTGTCTTCATTAAAAATTTCTAAAAATCTGCTTTCCATAGGTTCGTATTTTATGTATTCTACAAATTCATCAAGAACAAGTTGATTCTTTAAAACATGTTCACCTTCAACAGCCATCGTTTTGTCTTCTAACACAATCTTCAGCAAAGTCTTAGATCGAACTACCTTTGATAATAGCTTGGTACTCGCAACTTTGAAAATTACTGACTCTGAAGATGTTAAAAAAATAAAATGAAAAGTTGTCAAACTAAACAGTTATAAAATATATAAAATAGCAATATAAAAGCAAAGATTTGTAGTTTTATTTGTGTGTCTTCTAAATACAGTAATAATTTAAGTAACTTCCTCTTTTATACAATATATGAAGATTTTTGTTGATGTTATGTATGTATATACATGCGTAGGAGTTATTTTAACTAAATATATGCAAAAAGATTATTTTAACTAAAAAGCTTTTTGTTTATATACTTGTTTATTTTCTGTATGATTAACTCTGCTACAATCATAGTTACACAACTATCAATAATTTAATTCCTGAAATAGGGATAGAGGTGCGATAATACCACATTTGTGGCATATAAATATATTCTATATATTATATAGTATAGGCTACATGTAGCCACAGCTATATGTAAATTTTTCTAATTTATATAATATATAATTTAAATAGCTTATTTATGATATTAAAATTGCACAATATGCATTGCTTTAAAAAAAAATCAACTTTACATATAATTAAATTTTCCTAGGTCACTATATGTTTTTTCTAGATAGTTCAAAAAATTGCTAATTCTAATTGGTCAAATCATATAATGTTTATATATAAATCATATGATATATATACACAAAGTTGATCTACAATTTATTTTATATGAAATTGAAAATTTGTATACTCTACTAGTTTTAAGCTCAAGTCAAGATAAAGCATCAACATTAAAGTGAATATGGCTAGGTTTATAAAAAATTTCAAAATTATAGGATTGTAACTTTATAACACATCTTCTAAATTTTTCTTTTGGTTTTTTTGTTTGTAACCACTTAAGAGCAGAGTGATTAGTAACAAGAGTGAAGACAGAGGTTCCCAAATATTTGTGAATAGTGATAGTACCTGATCAAAAAAAATGCTACCTGGTTACTCAACGGGTAAACCTGTGGATTACCCGAGTGATCGACAGATATATCCGGATTAGAGTGGACTGAAAATGTGATGTGCACATATGTGCATATGTGTACATTTTTTTCGTAAATCATATGTGAATATATGCGCCACAGTATATAATGATAAGAATGGCTTTATGAAACCTTTTAAAGATAATATTACAAGCAAAACTAATTTCAAATAGTTTTGATCTATAGTATACAATAGAATTAAAACCTTATATTTACTAAATAAATATGATAATAATATTTTCGCTCAAATTCTTTGCCAAAAAAAAATATTAATATCTATTCTAAATAAATCGAAACTATCTGAAATTAGTTTCGCTCTTAGTAACAGAAAGTCGAAATTAGTTTCATTCTTAATATTAGGAAAATCAACAATATAAAATTTAAAAATTGTAGTTATTATTAGTTAATATTAAATAAAGGTCAAATAAAAAGTATACGAATTTGTTTTTATTTTTTTAAATTTTGATTTTTTTTAAAATGATTACCCCAAGTGACCATATTAATGAAAATGAAGATTACAAAAACGCTTTTTACGTCGATGACAAAAAGTTGTTTTGTACTTTCTATAAAATTATTGTAAACCATCGAAACAAGTTTTTACTTGATCAATATTTAAACACTAGTAAGCATAGATTAAACAAATGTAAAGCAAAAGATCCAGAAGAAACAAGTCAAATTACCTTTGATTCTAACACTTGTCAGGAAGAATGTGAGATGATTAATATAGATCTGGTTCATGCCTTAACACAAGCAAACATTCCACTTAAAAAAGATAAACTCAAGCCATTTTTATTAAAATATTGCAAGAATGGTATGTACTATACATATTTTTGAGGTGTGAATTAGTGATGCTTGACGAAATTGATTTTATTAGTAGACGAAATTAAACCTAATGAAACTCTTGATGAAATTATTTTGATCTATAATTATTAGTGACGAAATTAATTTTGAATTAGAATATTATTCTAAGGAATATGCTAAGTTTATGGAAAAATTTCTTGGCGTTTAAATGAAATTTTTGGCACAATCGCAAAATGACGAAACTATTCGTCAATTCAAAAATAATTTTGTCAAGCATCTATAGTGTGAACACGATGTCGTAACTTGTAATTATAGTAAGTTATGGCATTCTGCTGTAAGTTATTATGATTACAAGTTATAGTATCGTGTTTATACCTCTAATATATTTACATATTATTAAATCATATATATGTATTATTTTATAGGTAATGCAGTTGTTGAATCTACGCAATTGCATAGTAAATATTTGCCAATCGCATTTGACTCGGAAATTGAAAATTTAAAGAAACTTTTAATAAATTAGCGAATTTTTATAACGGTTGATGAATCACCTGATGTTTATAGTAGGGCAGCAATCAATATATTGTTTTTAGTTTTTATAATAAAACTAAACTTGCAAAGACTGAACATTTACCCGTCGTTAACAGTTTAACTATCACACAATTGGTGCTAAGAACTCTTCAATCTTACAATATTTCATTTACAAACATTATTTTTTTTATATCGGACAATGCCTCTTATATGATAAAGGCATTTGGTATTCTATCTCCTTTAATAGTTCAAATGAAACACAATCGTTGTTTGGCACACATATTGAATCTAGTTGGTGAAATGTGGGTGGATCACAAAAATTTTAAATTACTAGATGAAGTAGTTATACAAATTAAAGCCTCATTTACGCATAACAATGCGTGCAAAAGAAGATGGATTTCTTTTTTAAATTCGCAAAATCTTGATATACCGTCAACCTTACCACCATTTCCTGTTAAAACAAGATGGAATTCTTGGTTCAATTTTGTTTTCTGGATCGATAAACATATTTCTCAGCTTAGAAGTTTTTATCTAAATGAGGAACTTATTGGTAATGAAGGCAAAGCGATCAACAAGTTAATATTTGTCTTTAAGGATTCTCTACGTGCATCCGAATTTGAAATTTTAGCTGCATTTGTTACATTTAATGCACAAAGGTAAGTAATTTTTTTTTAAAAAAAATACATACATATGTATGTACGTATGTATATACATATATATGTATATATATATATTGATATATATTGTTGGGTTTTACTAATTCCCTCCAATAAGTAAAATCTGTAATTAGTGACCAAATCCCATGATACTGTATAAAGAGATTCATGATGTAATTTAGAGTTCTAAACTTACACTATTGCTAAGAACCCAATTCATCCTAGTCACTTGGACCAAATCTTTTCATACCTTAATCGAAGCCTTACTAATATTGAGATTTGGTTGTACTAGTTGTAGTGTTTTGGTTAAAGTAGTTTAGTTAGTTTTAGTAGTATGTTATTTTATTTAAACCCAGTCATATTTTTTATAACATATATAATTAATTTTAATATTTTTTGTTATTTAGCCTTTTTAATACGCTAGAATTTTTCAAAATTTGTAACAAACCTGTGGCGTCTTCTGTATCAAATCATCTAACACAACTTGAAGCACAACTACAATCCGGTACTATTACTCCACCCTTAAATGACAAGATACTAACTAAATTTAGTACTTCGAATCTAGATTCCTCACAGTATATAAACGGATTTCGAGAGGCATATAAATCAGCATTAAACAAATTTAAAAAACATATTGACCAACATTCTACTTTACCTTTATTTAAAGCGATTCAATGTTTTGACCCCCAGTATCTTCATTCACAACAAAGTAGGCAAGATATTAATTTATATAAATGTATTCCTGAATTTGAGAATCCTAACTATACGATTATACGTGAGTGGGAGATTTATTGTAAGTTAGACGAAAATTTTAGCTATGATAGTGAATTCAATTTAGATTCGTATTGGAAAGAAAAAGCTATGCATCTTCCTAAGTTGTCACAATTAGCTTTAGTTTATATTTGGCTTCCTGTTTCGGGTGTTAATGTTGAGCGAAGCTTCTCTGTATATAAAAATATTCTTACAGATAAAAGACAAGCTCTTTCAGAAAATTCAATTGGTATTTTGAATTTTATGTATTTTAACAAAATCGAATAATTTTTTTGTTTTTTTTTAGATTTAAATAAATATTAAAATCTTGCCTAATATGAATTTTTTTTTTTATTATTAATAATACACATATTATAAAGAAGTGATGTGAATTTGAGCCGTATAAAATTTGAAACTTTACTAATCTGTATTTTCAAAAGAGAACCGTAATGACATCCTAGTTAGTGCTTTCATTTAAATAAATAAATATATTTTATACATACTGCATTTAACCTTTACATAATCTTGACATACTTGTAACGTCAAAGCAACTCTAACATCTCTTGATGTAAATTTATATTGCTGTTTCTTGAAGCTTTAGGAATTCAACTTACAGTATGTTTACATTCATAATTTCTTCTGAAATATGTCAACATTCTTTAGAATGTACTGGATATTTTGAAAAAAAAGTTATTTAAAACTTCATAGCTGCTCTAACGACGTTCATTCTATGAAATATTTGATATGCATATGTGTACATATGATTTACGAAAAAAATGTACACATATGCACATATGTGCACATCACATTTTTCAGTCCACTCTAATCCGGATATAAAATCTTACCCAATATACCCGGGTGATCGACAGATATATCCGGATATAAAATCTTCCGGGTGAGTTACAGCTGTTTTCATAAATTCTGGAAAATTTGGCAAAAGTTGACTGACTGAATATTTGCCAATTAGTGATAAACTTTGATTCGGATGTAATTATCACTGCTAAATCAAAGCTTATCGAATCGGCAAATATTTTCCAGAATTTATGAGAACGGCTGTAATTACAGCTATTATCATAATTCTGGGACACCTGCTCATCATTGCCTCCAAATTGAAGGTTAGGTAATTTACCGAACGACCAATTTCACATTAGGTGGGTGAGTTGCAACGCACATGCGCTAAATTATTATATAAGCCTTTATAAACACACATATCACGTGCAAAAATTTTGAAAATAATTATCTATTAGTGTTGGCAATTTTTCCGATCGCTAAAAGGCCAACTGATTTGGTCGACGGAAAAATTGCAAACGTTGAATAAATAGACTCTGTCAACAATATATTATTTTGATACTAATAAAGTTATTAAATATTTCTGAATACAGGGTCGATAATTTATAAATTTTATGTCAACAACGAACCAAACATGATAAGGACACGATTAATTTGTGATCACAAAATCAATCTGTATAGTTTGTAGTTTCTATTTACTAACATTTGCTTATTCATTCCGATTGACAATCTTGGATCTGTAAGAAAATAGATTAAATATTATTGTGCTTATTGTAGCGTTGAATAGCAATCAAACAGCAATCAAACATAAGATATTAACCGATATTGCTCAATATTATCCATTGTCAGGATCACAAGTTCACGTTTTGTCAGGGGCTTTTTAGTCAAAGGGCATATATTCTTTTTAGGTTCAGAAGAAAGGCATCGGACCCAACTATCATATCTACGCAATTGAAAAAAATATACATATGTATATATATATATGAATATATAAAATATATCGATACAATAATAGTCGGAAATAAATTGTACCCCATCACATGTCCGTATGGGGAAATTGCAGGTTTTACAACTTCTTCAAGCGTAATTGGATCAATGAAACCAGGCAATGGATTTTCATCTTCGATTTCATCCATTTCAAAATCGATAACATGAGGTCCTTTACTTGAGGATGCTTGTGCTCTTGTTCTTTTTGTTGTGTTCCAAGATTTCAAAATGTAACTACCCGAATCATCATAATCTAGGTCATCATCGTCGTCATCAGAAGCATAGCCTCGTTTTTTTCCAGTCTTACGCTTCTTTTTTGCTGGTGTTGACCGCGTGGTAGATTTAGATAATGATGTTTGGGTTTTGGTTCCACTGTTGCTTCCGTGCTTGGTATGTGTACGGAAAACCTTTTCGGTCACTCCAGTTTTTTTGTTTGTTGTGCTAAACAAGTAATGTGCTTTGCCTTTATCATCAAGCACATAATTTGGATCCTTGATACGTCCAGTCTCTAT